TGACATGGTGAGAAGAGTGGAGGTGTGTCAAGTGGTGAGCACGGAGCCTGGCTCTCAACAGATGCCACTCTCGGCACAAGTACCGAGGGGGACTATTGCAGCACGGCGGGCCCACGAGGGGGTAGGCCGGGAGACACGTGCAGCAAGGGACAGCAGACATGGAGGCAGAGGGCAACCTCATCATCTGATCAGCTTCTCTGCCCTGGACCCGGAGAGCCAAAAGCCCGCTCCTGTTAGGTCCCAGGGTGGGAACACTAGGGACAAAGACAGCGATTCAGAGCCTCCATTCGGAAATGGGGTGTCTCTGCATCCCTGGGTGGCCCTGCATCTGAGGAAGTCGGGGTCAGTGAAGTCAGGTCACGAATGCCACTCCCCCCACCCCAAGTGCTTCCACATTTCTGACTGATGGATGAGGGCGCAGGCAACAGGGGTAGAGTGTGTTTATGGGCAGACTGGGTACAACAAGCTGGCTAGGAGTTCGGAACAGGGTCAGGAGAAGCAGGCTGCCCACTGGCTGGCGCGACGGAGTCCCCCTCCTGTTGCTGTCTCATGTACTGGTCCAGCAGGGCTGTCAGCTGGAAGGGCTGGTGCTGAAGCAACAGGTGGGTCTGGGCCATGCGGAAGGTGAGTCCTCCTACCAGCTCCCCCTGCACCATGGCCAGGCTGGGAAGCTGGGAGTAGTTGATGAAGCCCTGCCTGCTGAGGATGGTGCCGTCGATGCAGCCACCTGGAAGAACACAGGCTCAGCGGGGCCCCCACAAATGCCTCTCTCCGCTGAAACCAACGGTCCAACTCAAGGTTCCAACGCACGCTCTGTCACCCTCCTCCACCTCCAAGCCTTCCCCCAAATCTGGCTCCCACACCTGTCCCACCCAACTCCCCCTCAGTCTGGGACTGATCCCCTCCCTTCCTTCCTAACTCTTCCCTAGAAAACACTCACATAAGACATCCACCAGGCCCACCCCCAACTAAGTCATGGTCTCCTAAACCTTCTTAACCAGAGGGCCGCCTGGGTGGCTCAGTCAGTTGAGCATCTGCCCTCGGCTCAGGTCACGATCCCAGGTCCTAGGATTAAGCCCCGCATCGAGCTCCCTGCTCAGCGGGGAGCCTGCTTCTCCCTCTCCCACTCCCCCTGCTTGTGTTCTCTCTCTCGCTGTGTCTCTCTCTGTCAAATAAATAAATACAATCTTTAAAAACAAACAAATGGTGCTACTGACTCAGTCCCCATCCATGAGAGGCTGTCCCCCCAAGGAGGTCCACAGTTTTACCCACATGTACTTAGCAGATGGCACCAGGCTGCGGTAGCACCCACTCCCCTTCACCCCCATCCTCAACCCGCAAGGGTGCTTGCTCACCGAGCAGTGGCAGGAAAGGCACACCCTTTAAGATTCGCACCATCTCCTTGACCTTGGGCTCCTCGCTGACCAGCAGGAAGTTGTGCCCCACAAAGAGGGGCAGCAGGTTTTGGTACTTGGAATCCTCTAGGAAGGGCTTCAGAACCTGGAACAGCAGGAAAGAGGGCTTCCTGGGGACAAGTGCGAGGAAGGGCTGCCCACCCTGATCACAGGCCAAGTCAGGCTGAGGTTGCAAGCCGACAGTCTCCTCGGCCCCAAACCACAGCGTAGGCACTAGACTGGAGGGTTGCTTGCAGTGGGAGGGTCGAACACACCCAATCTGTGGAGGGGCCCCCTGTGGTCCGAGTTGGCAGGGGTGGGGGAACAGGGTGCACGCACTAGAGGGCTGCTCCCTACCTGGATGGGGAAGATCTTCACCAAGATCTTGTGCTTCCGCAGCCGGTGCCGTATGAGAAGCTTGTCCTCCGCACTCAGAGCCACATTCTGACAGACAGCTATCATTCGGTTCTCTTGGAATACTGCATCTAGCTCCCGACGGAGGAGCCGGATAAGGCCTGTCTCCTATAGTCAGGAAGGGATGACCAAGGGGACTTCAGCTGCCCTTCTCCTTGCCCCCCTTTCTCCCTGGGGGACGGGTGCTGGGGCTCCCAGTGATGCCCAAACGTGGGAAACTTCAAGTCCTTTCGAGACAAGAGAGATACTCTCCCCTACCTCCACCTGCTTGGATAACCTTCACACAATTTTGGGGAGACAAGTAAAGAAAGCAGGATATCCAGGAGGCCCGTCTGATCCAGAACCCAAAATGCCAAGCAGAATCAAGTGCACATTTCATTTTAAAGCACCTGGCCCACAGGGTCAAAGAGCGGAAGTAATGATGTGGAGGGCTGGGTCCCGGAGGGCTACTTCATTGTGGCTTCAGAGACAAGATCACTTCAATCCACCAACCCAGCATCAAGGACAGGCAGTGTCCTCCTTACCTCCTGTGGGGGACTGGGAGGACATGGTAGGCATCTCGGGTTGACCACGGGTTTTGGGGGGATATACTCAGTCAGAGCCATCAGCTTCTGCCGCTGGAAGTGCATCACACGACGATGGCGGGTAACAGCCTTGGAGCCACAACGGACAGTCTGGAGGGTGGGCAGCCGGCCTGGGAGAGGAAATGGCAACTCTGTGCTGTGCAGCCTCTAGGAGTCCTTAGTTGGCCTCAGATGGCAAAAAAGCCCACCTCTGGGCAAGACAACCACGGCCCAGAGAGCTAGACTCAGCACAAGAGTGGGACAAGGAATTGTCTGTTAGGAATCCTAAATCCCCCAAACTCCCCTTCCCTTTAATGGGTGACCTTAAGTCCTTTGAGGCTCCCATTTCTCCAGCTCTTCTAGATGCACAGAGACGGGAGAAAAAGATGAGAACAAGGACGAAAGTATATTTGAACACATTAAAAAAGGAGGAGAGGGTTGAGCAAATTTTTTTTTAAGATTTTATTTATTTATTTGAGAGAGAGTAATGGAGAACGCGAGTGGGGGTGGAGGGGCAGAGGGAGAGAAGCAGACTCCCCGCTGAGCAGGGAGCCTGACACGGGGCTCAATCCCAGGACCCCAGGATCATGACCTGAGCTGAAGGCAGATGCTTAACCCACTGAGCCACCCAGGCACCCCGCAAATTTTTTTCTTAAATGGCCAAACAATAAATATTTTAAGTTTGAGAACCATACAGTCTGTCTCCACTACTCAACCATGCCATTGTATCATGAAAGCAATCGTAGACAATATGAAACAAGCAGACATGGCTGTATTCCAATAAAACTTTATTTATAAAACATAGTGATCAGTCCTGCCACAGTATGCCAAGCCCTGGTCTAAGCCAGTGGTTCTCAGGGTGTGCTCCCCCCACCCAGCCAGCAACATCGGCATCACCTGGGAACTTGTTAGAAACCCAAGTTCCCAGGGCCTGTCCTGGACCTACTGAGTCAGAAGCACTGGAGGGGAGCCCAGCAAAGAGCAGTTCTAAGAAGCCCTCTGGGTGCTGCAGGTACATGCTGAAGTCTGAAAACCACCACTCTAAGCACTGCTCTGAAGCCTTCGCCCATGATTTGAAGAGAGAAAAGAAGTTCCACGGCCCTCACAGCTCCCCCAAACAAGCCTCCCTTCCCTCCGTTCTTGTTTACAAGCATCGGTGGAGAGCACCCCTCAGAAGACAAGGGAGCCACTTGAAAGCTGTAAGCCTAAGTAACCCCTTCACCTTCAACAAAAGGACCCAGCTTGTGCTTCCCAGTTTCAGCCCTTCCCAAGATTGGGCTGGGGTCTCAGGGAAAAGTTCAGCTAGAAGGTGGCTCTAAAAAAGAGCACGGAGGTTTGCTGGGGTGAGAGGTTTTATTGCCAGCAGCCACAAAACCTAAGTTAAGAACACAGGTTTCGATCAGATGGAACCGGATTTTTTTTTTTTTTTCCTGAGAAAAAGGCAGGGGTTGGGCAGAGGGAAAGCGAGAATGACAAGCAGGCTCCACGCTCAGCAGCACCGAGCCCGACGCAGGGCTCAGTCTCACAACCCTGAGATCAGGACCAGAGCTAAAACCAAGAGCCGGATGCTTAAATCGACTAGGCCACCCAGGCACCCCACAGATGGAACCAGATTTTAATCTCTTCTGCCACTTACTAGCTGTGACCTTGACCAGTCACTCAACTGGTCTAAACTTGAATTTCTTCACCTGTAAATAGGAGATGATAATGACTTCATGACTGCTCTAAGATTTAAATGAGCTAATACATGTCAATCATTTACCACTGTGCCTGGCCTATATTATGTGCGCAAATCATTCATTAAACAAATGTCTATTGCATGCCTACTAATGCCAGGCACCACGCCACCTGCTGGCTATACTGAATGAACACGGTTCTGCTCTTACGGAGTTTGAAGTCTAACACCGGAGACAACACATAAACCAATGCAAAATTACAGACTGCGAGAGTGAAAGGAGTCCATAAACAAGCTGCAAAATACAGATTTAACAGGGGAAACCTGCTTTGCAGAAGGTGGCCAGGGCAGACCTGAGCAGGTGACATTTAGGCTGACACCGTGGAAAGGTGGCACGGCGCCAAGGTCGGGGCGGGCAGTGGTTCAAGCAAAGGAAACTGGAGGCGACCAAGAGCTGGGTGGTGCATTACAGAAACCCAGAGAAGGAAGGGGGACTCGGGCGGAGGGAAGAAAGACTGTGGTTGTCGCCGACGCTGTTGCTGCACTGCGCCTACTACTAGTGTCTGCAGTCACAGGGAATTTTAGACGGAGGAAGGCGGCCAGCGATCTAGCTGGGGCCAGGGGTCATCGGGAGCTGTCTCAGTTAAGGGACTGCGGGAGAGGATCAGTAGTGGAGGAGGGGAGACAGAACTAGAGAGCACCGGCCGGAACGCGCCGTGAGGACCTGGGCCGCTCCTTACCCGCCTGGGGCAGGAGACCCCCTCGCAGCATCCCAGCCACGGCCGCAGCCATCGCCACCGGAAGAACAGACGGGAGCCGGGAGAGACAGAAGGACCTAAGGATTGTGGGAAATCCTGGGGCCGGAAGCAGCCGGCAGATACGTCGGCTGGAGCACTAATCCGCATGCGCTGAGCCGGGTGCCTGAGAGCCCGCCCTCCCCGACGCCCGGCCTGGCGTCCAGTCTCCTAGCAACGACGCTTAGACTCGGGCACAGCTCTTTGGATCCCCACCCGCCACTCTCTACCCACAATTCCCGTTTTACCAGCCCCTTTGCACCCCTCGAACTCCGGAGCCCCTGCCTCGATTTACTTTTGTCTTCTACCCTACCTCATTAATAATTGGCCCTGAATCAACCACTTTCCCTTGTCCTTCGAGTCTCCGAGCTTCTCTCTCCTCATACCATCCTGGGTTCCGCCATACCCGGACTGTCCAAGTTGGTCAGCTTCCCTTCGTTCTAATCCCATGCCAGGCCAGTAACCTTTAAATCATGCCCGGAGGTGAGTAGGGGATGGGGTGGTGAGTAGAACAGTTGGATAACAGTAGGGTCAGGCTTCCAAGAATAAGAAATGTAACAACCGGACTCATCTTTTCACAGCTAAGCTTGCCCAGAGTCCAGAGGAAGGGGGAGTGTGCATTACTGAAGCCCTTATCACTAAGCGGAACTTGGCCTTCCCTGAGGATGAAGATCTGTCAGAGAAGATGTGAGTGCCAGGGGGGGAGAAAAGGGGTGCTGCACGATTGAAACACACAGGATGACCGGTCCCCTGAGCTGTACTGGTTTGTCAACTCATCTTTGTCCCTCTTTTTACTTACTCCATGCATTCAGTCAGTGGTCATGTCCAACTGATTTTGCCTCCTTAAACATTACTCTATTGCTTTTTTACCATGCCCAGTCAACTGCCTTAAATAAGGCTCTTAAGCCATCACCTCTCAACAAACTCCTAATTAGTCTCCACGCCCCCAGTCCTGGATCCCCCCGTGCCGTTGCCAAAGTGATCCTTTTAAATGATAAATCTGATCAGGCACACCCTGATAGAACCTTCCTTGGCTCTCTCGTACTTCCAGAATAAAATCCAAATGCCTTAGTGTGAGTTGACCTCTGATGCCTTTTCAGCCTTATTTCTTGCTGTTCACAATTCCTCTAAGACCCCACGTTTTCACACCTTAGCACCTTACCTCTTAGATTGGTGCTGAGCAGCATCACCTGGGAGGTTGTTAGTAATGAAGACACTCAGGCCCACCCCAGACTTACTTAACTGAAATCTGCATTTTTACAAGAACCCCCAAGGGACTTCTGGGCGTATTAAAGTTGGAGAAAGCCTGGATTAGCACATACTGTTCCTTCTTTTTGACATGCCTTCTCCTCATCACCTTCTCACCTTCCCAGCCAACTTCTACTTGTATGTCACCTCCTCCAAGAAGCATTCCCTGTCCCCCGATTCAGGACTGAGTGCACAGTTCAGGCACTCCTTTAGTCCCCTGTACTCGTGTCTGTGATCCACTTGTCGTAGACGTTTGGCCTGCTTCCCTAATAGTGATGGGCAGGGACTCTCATTTGTCTCTAGTGGGCAGTAAATGCCGTGGGATGAATGAGTGAATGGAACAAGTGCTTTTCCTTCCATGGACCACTGAAAAGGGAAGTGAGGAAGGATCCTCCTGCAGAGATTGTCTCATCTCTGCCCTGGCCCCTGCTTCCACCATCCACGCTGGCCCAAGGAAGGCTTCCCTTGTGTTCTCTTGCTCAGAGTCTCTCCAGGAACCATAAGCTGCTATCACCCATTTCCCAGTCCAAGGGCCCTCTACTCCTCTCACCCTCTGATCCTTCCCAGTGCTACTGACCAAGATCCAGGGCTCCCAGCCAACCAGGTTTCATGATCTGGACACCAGCTCATGAGTCAAGAAGTTGTTCGACCTCTCATCAAAGGCGCTTTGCTTGAAACACCTTTCCTCCCCACTCCCATCTTCCCTGCTGAGACACCGCAGCAGACACCGCTCCCTTACAACACCTGCTGACCGTTCTTCCAGGTTTCACACTCTGGCTGAACTGCAGACTGTCCGCCTGGACCGGGAGGGGATTACCACTATCAGGAACCTTGAGGGCCTCCAGAACATTCACAGCCTTTATCTGCAAGCGGTAACTTCATGCCTCCTGCCCTTCCTCCCCCTCCTTCACCCTTCTTCACCCTCTGTGGACCGAGTCTGTTTAATCCAAAAGCAACCGATCAGGTCATCTTGCCCATTCCCTGGCATTCAGGTAGGCAGACCTTCACTGAAACTGTTCCCAGATGGGGTGCCTGGCTGGCTTATCTGTGGAGCAGGCACCTCTAGATCTCAGGGTTCTAAGTTCAAGCCCCACATTAGGTGTAGAGATTACTTAAAAGTAAAATCAGAAAGGAACGAAGGAAGGAAAGAGGAAAGAAAGAAAGGAAGGAAGGAAGGAAGGAAGGAAGGAAGGAAGGAAGGAAAAGAAAGGAAGGAAGGAAGAAAGAAAGAAAGAAAAAGAAAAAGAGAAAGAGAGAAAGAAGGGAAGGAAGGAAGGAAAGAAAGAAAGAAAGAAAGAGAAAAGAAAGAAAGAAGGAAAGAAAGAAACTATTCCTAGATGAATCAGGAATTCTGTTCAATTGAAAGACCAATCCTCCCAAAAGAGATCCGGAACATGCTCTTGAATCACTGTTTTTTTGTCAGACACTTCTCTTGGTCTCAAAGTTCTTTTTGGTGTCTACCCTAAATCTCTCATGTTATATATACCTCGAGCCCATTTCCTGTTTTGAAGAAGTAGAAGAGGGAACCAAAAGATTCCTCTGCATCCTTCAGAACCTTGAAGGCTATTTGGTGGTGGTGGTGGTGGTGGTGATTCAGTCTCCTCCAGTTTGAATATACCCAGCTCCTTTAATCTTTCCCCATAGAAACTTTACAAATCAAAGTAATGTATATTCATTACTCCCTGTGTGTACCTAAGCCACCACCAAGGCTTTTGCTATTTCCCCATGGCCCCTTGGTTTCCTTCTTATTTCCAGGCCCCTCTTTGGTTGTGGGGTGAGCAGGGTATACTTTAATGAAGCGTAGTCAGCCCCCAAGTTGACACCCTTCACCATCCACCCAGAGAAAGCAAATCATCCCCAGGTACTGAGAACCAGTTCAGGGAGCCCGGCGGGGGGGGGGGGGGGGGGGGGGGGGGGGGGGGGGGGGCGGGGCTGTCATTCCCAAAGTGCCAGCTCTCTGGCTGGGCCAGGAGACGTGGTCTACCCAGTTTCCCCAACTCGTTTGCTTTCTGCAGAATAAGATCCAGCGGATTGAGAACCTGGCCTGCATCCCCTCCTTGCGGTACGTGGTGTCAAGGCTCAGGCCCGGGGGAGGGGGGAGAGAGGGAGACCTGGTCACGCCCCAGAGAACTGGTGCAGACCTCTCCAAGCCTAATGTCTTGTCTGCTGAGGACCCAGCAAGCCCTGCTCTGCTTCCCCCACCCCAGGGGGCCATGGGTCCCCACTCATCATCGGGCTGCTTAGCCAGGGGCGCCGGGGGCCTGGTGCCCTCCTCCCTTCCTCCAGTGGTTCTGTGATTCAGCTCTGTCTCTGTACCCCTCCCTTCCCCCCGCAGCTTCCTGTCTCTGGCAGGAAACCAAATCAAGCAGGTGGAAAACCTCCGTGACCTCCCACATCTCCAGTTTCTGGACCTTTCTGAGAACCTGATAGAAACCCTGAAGCTGGGTAGGAAGGGCCTGGCCCCAGCTCATGGGATAAACCTCGTGTTGGGGGGCCTCCCTCCTCTCTGCCACCATCTCCCTACGCTTGCATTAGCAGCACAGCCTCTGGGGGTTCTGGGGAGGCTGTACAAAGAGGCAGTGGCTTTGGGCCAGAAGATGGCTATGACACCCTCCTTCCCCTCTCCCTGGTGTGTGCAGATGAGTTCCCCCAGAGCCTTCTCATCCTCAACCTGACTGGAAATAGCTGCACCAACCAGGACAGGTACAGGTGAGGAGGACCTGAGGGCGGGAAGAAATGGGGCATGGCCAAGCTCCTCCTCCTACCTCCACATGCGCTCCCTCTCAGCCTGCAGACCCGGGGTCACCATCCATGGCACCTTCTCTGCCACCCCAGCTCAAGTGGGACGCCTTTTCTCTCCCACCCTGAGGTCCACACGGAGCCAGCCCTTAGCTCTTTGGGGCTGACCACAGGCCCATCTCCCTGCCTGCGAACCCCCACCCCTCCCAGTGTGGTTGCTGCAGCTTGTGTCTGGCTCCCCCAGGCTCCCCACTCATGGGTGCTCTCCTGGGGGGCCTCTGCTCTTCCCACCCTGCAGAGAGCTGGTGACAGAAGCCCTGCCGCTGCTCCTGGACCTGGACAAGCAGCCTGTGTTGGAGCGCTGGACCTCGGATGAGGAGGAGAAAGCCTCGGGCGATGAGGAGGAGGAGTTCCCGGAGCTGAGTGGCCCGTTCTGCACAGAGCGAGGTGGCCCTGCTTTCCAAGCTTGCACCCTTCTTCCTAGAACTCCCCTCTGCCCCGTGGGGCATGGGGGAAGCTAAGATGGCAGTGGTGGCTAGGGAGGCAGCCCCAAGCCCAGAGCAGCGTCTGGGTCAGAGACGGACAGTGCCACTGGGGCCAGGTGTCAGCCTGGCATGCAGGTGACACGTCCTCCCGACCCCAGCCCCAGGCCCCTCCCCACTGGGGATGGCAGTGGGTTTGTTTGCTCAGGGGGTCAGCCAGAGACCTCCCACCAAGGGCCTTCCTGCCAAGCTTGGGGCTCCATCTACCACCTCCCATCTTGTCCCTCCTAGGCTTCCTCCAGGAGCTGGAACAGGAGATGGGCAGACACAAGGAGTGCAGACAACAGGCAGCCCTGACTGAGCACATTCTGAGGATGGAGACAAAGCCCGCCCTCACTGGCCTCCCCCTGCTGCCTGGGGGGCCCATGGCTAGGGACAGCAGTCCCTCTCTCACTCCCGGGCAAGGGAAGGAGACATCCTCCAAGCCCGCCTCCTTGCCACAAGCTACCTCTGCCAGCAAGAAACCCTGCCCTCTGGTTTCCAGCCAGCAAATCACTGTCCCGGCAAAGAAGGGGACCACAGCCCCCAAGGCCTCTGTGGCTGGGGCCTCTAGCACAACCAAAACTGTGACCAAAAGAATCAAGAAGTGAAGTGCAGCCCGTCCCTACCAGCAATACCCCAGGAACAAGGATTGGGGAAGAACAGGGCATGGGGTGGGGCCTCCCCTCCTTCTCAGACCCCTCCCCTGTGGCAGGAGCCTACCCCAGTAAAATGTCTCCCAGCCCTGAGTATGTCTTTCATTTTTTTTTTAAGATTTTTTATTTATTTATTTGACAGAAAGAGACATAGCGAAAGAGGAAACACAGGCAGGGGGAGTGGGAGAGGGAGAAGCAGGCTTCCCGCTGAGCAGGGAGCCCGACGCGGGGCTTGATCCCAGGACCCTGGGACCATGACCTGGGCCGAAGGCAGACACTTAACGATTGAGCCACCCAGGCGCCCCTAAGTATGTCTTTCATGTCGTTGGGGGGCATCTGAGGGGAAGCAAGCAGTCAAGACAGTGGGAAGGAGTCACAGAAATACAGATCCCAACTCTAAAGAACACGTTTCTGGACCTTTCGGGAACTACCCAAAGGACTGGCCCACCTCAGGTCCTCCACCTGGCTGCCTGGGCCCTGAGCGGGCCTCGCCCTGAGGAAGATGCCGTCCTCCAGGGCACATCTTCACTGCCGCCCTTAGGGAGTGCCCTCCCAAGGTTCGAGCCAAGGACCAAAAACCCGTGGTTCTAATTCTCCCCTAAATGGTAGCCCCACATTGTGCCAGGCGTGTTCTCTTGTTCACACCTGCTCACACACCTGGGGAGACCACCTCTCCTCACACGCCCCTGCCACAACGTTCTCCATCTAGTTCCCATCCCCCGAGTGAGAAGACTGTGCTGCCCAGCAAGACGACCGGAGGCCCTGCAGTCAGCTCAGGGCTGCGCTTTGCCCTCACTTGGCTCTCGCATCCCCACTAGACCAGGGATCACGTTCACTGAACAGCGAAGTAACATTATTAAGCCAAAGGCCGAGCTGGCCGTGCAGAACAAGGCCGAGGGCAGTGAAGGGCTTGTGCCGCGATCCTGCTGCCCCAGGGGCCCTGTGCCCACCCCAGGCCAGGAGGCACCGCGGCGTTCAGGCGTACACCTGGCCCTCCCTCTCCACGAAGGCCTGGAAGAGGGTGGCCAGCTCCTGCGGCGGTGGGGCCCACTCCCCGGCCAGCAGTCCCCGTGCAGCCTCCAGGCCTTCCTGCTCCAGATCCCGCTGCTTCTGCCGGAGCTGCTGCCCCCGATCCTGCCCAGGAAAGGTGGAGATGAGAGGCCCCCAGGACAGGCTTCCCTCTGGATCCAGGGGAGATCCCTGCCATGTCCCACACAGCAGGAGAAAGGACAGGGTCCCCGACATTTTCCTGGGCAGCTAGCTTTGAAGGCAGAGACTCCTCTCCCCAACTCTAGAGTCTCTCCTCCACTCCCAGTCCCCCTCGTATTTCCAGAATCCCGATTGGGGGGGGGGAGGTGAAGTGAGTCATGCCACCAGAGTAGCCCCTAGTCCCTGGGGGTACCTGCTCACGCTCCATCAGCCCCAGAGCCACCTGGTGTCCGCGGTAGAGGGTGTGCCGCCGATCCACCTGAGTCTGGAATCGGGGCTGGGTCCGAACAGGGTCCTGTGCTCCAAAAGTGGGGGACAGCACCTGGGGGGCCTGGGCCGCCCCTGCCCCGAAGATGAAAGGTTTGAACACTGACCTAATGGGACAGAGATGGAAGGAGCAAAGGTTATTACAACCCCCATCCCCGCCCCCACCTGGCTTGCTCTCCCCTGCCTTCCCCACCCTCATTCCCCTCACCTGGATGGGTCTGGCGTGGCGGTGAGGAAGTGGACACAGGGCTGTGTGGGGTCCTGGGGCAGGATGGACACCATGCTGGCCGTGGTGCGAAAGCCTCCTGAGTCCATGCAGATGCCACTCTCCTTATTCCTGAGGATGCCCATCATCACCTCTGCCGTGATGCCCCCTGCGAAGGAGGACAGGCTGAGGGGGCCCCCAGGGCAGAAGAGGGACCTCTGGCCTTGGGTCAAAGCCGTGGGAGAGGAGAAGGGCTGGCACTGCCGAGGCTCTCCGGCCCTCAGCCCACCACCATCCGCTCACTGACCTCTTTGCTGCTGCAGCAGCTCCTGCCCAGCCTGGAAGCGGGCTTTGGCAGCCTCCATGCGCACAGGCTGCTGGGTCAGGGAGAAGACCTGAGCGAAGTCAAAAGTGCCCTGCCCACCCCACCAGCCCTGGGCCAGGGCGTGGGTCCGCAGCTCCGAGTGTTCGGCCGAGATGTCCGTGCCAATGCTCAACTGGTTGGAGATGTTGCGGGCCCCCTCTGTGGAGGAGGCGGGGGGTGGGGGGGAGGGGGTGGCTCGTTTATCATGAAGCACCTGCTCTGTGCCAGGTGCCGAGAACATGATGGTGAAGAGAACAGTCCTGCCCTCGTGGGGAGGGAGACAGACAAAAGGATCACAGAAATAAATGTGAACTTGCAGCTGTGGTGAGTGCAGTGAAGAGGCACCTGCTTGCATATAAGGGGGGAACCTGACTGCCTGGGAGTCCAGGAAGGCTCCCCAGAGGAAGTGGCAGGCTAGAGCACAAGAGGACCTAAGCAAGTGAAGGGGGAAGCAAGGGTCCTGCCCTGCCCTGCCCCCATCCCACCCCCTCCCAAGGCTGGCAAAACGGGACACCCCCGGGAGGCAAGCCCCGGTGCCAGGCCCTCACCCTGAATCCTCTGTGCGGCCCACAGCCTCCCCGCTGTCTCCAGTACCCATGCCTCAGTCCGGTCGGCCAGCAGGAAAGTGTTGTGGTAGCAGAATGGTGCGGGGTCCTCCCGGCAGCTGCCCCCTTGCCCGTAGCGCTCCAGCAAGCCCGTGATCACGTGCAAGGCCTCCAGGGCAGAGCGGCTCCGTTCTAAAGCCAGCCTGGCCACGAAGAGAGGGGCAGGGACCAGAAGGGCAGTGAGGTACTGGTGGCGGGTGACGGAAGCCCCAGCGGACAGACGCAGCCCAGAGAGGGCCCTGCCACACAGTCTGCAGACAGCGGTTGTATGAAGTGCAGTGAGGCCAGGGGTTTCCTGTTCTGCTCTGAGGGTCCCATGAAGAGGCCCAAAACATGGTCTGAGAGAGAGAAGCGCACTAAGTCCCCCAGCCTCCCTTCAACCAGAGCTGCTCTACTTTTACTGGCTTTATACATTGGGGCTCCGTATGAGATTCCATTTGGGAAAGAAAAAGAAAAAGGCACTTCTGTTGAAAAAAGAAATGTGAAACCACTGCCCTGTTTCTGGGCCAGGAGAGGCCCAGAAGTGGCCACACTTGGGAGCTCCTTACCAGACTGGAGAGATGGGGCCCCGGGAGAGAGGAGGAGCAGGGACAGCCTCTCTGGGGATGGCGAGGGGGACACAAAGATGGAGGGCCCTGTGACCCAGCGGGGGGGGGGGGGGGTGGGGGATGGCCTGGGTCAGTACTCAGCTCTCAGACTTCCAGTGCATAGCGATGAGGGAGGGCAGGGTCTCTACCTGAGCAGATCCATGCCCAGCAGAGCTTCCCCCTCGTCAACTGGCTCCTTGGTCCACACTGCCTCATTGCCAATACAGACGCCATGCTCATTGGCACCCATCTCAGCCCCCCACAGCCAAGAAGGGCGGCTCAGGATCACAGCGTGAGTCTTTGACACCTGTTCCACCTCAATGTAGGTGCACTGCAGGTAAGGGGGGAGAAAGGGAGAGTCCGCTCAGAAAGGGTTTTGGTATTCCCATTTTGCAGACGAGGAGGCTAAAAAGAGGCTAGGGCCAGGTTGGTAGACAAGAAGGTCATGCTCTTTCCAGCACCTGTGGCGACTTTCCGGGCCTGAGGAACAGAGGAGGAAGGTCTTAGACGGATGCCTAGATCTGCCACAGCTCCTGACACGTCCATAAGGCCTAACCCACCTGGAGCCGGCTCCCAGGGGCGTGGGTGCTTGCCGGTACAAACACCACCTCTTGCACTTCGTCCCGGGGCCGGTCAGAGTTCTTGGCAAAGATCACCGCGGGGATGGCCGAGGCCGGGGGTACCGAGACAAAGCAATCGCAGGAACACGGGGTGTCGGGGTTCCACGAAGCCATCTGGGGAGAGGTGGAGATGAGTGCGTCCCCCTCGAGCCACCTCTCCTCCATCCTGACCAGGCCTCAGCCCCTGGGAGCCCCTCTCCCAACACGTGTCAACAGACACTCGGAGGACACTGCCGTTGGATTCGGGATGCTCAGCACCGCACACACTCCATGCGCGGCAGAGGCACCGGCTCTCGGTCACGGGCTCCGGGCTCCAGGCTCGGGGCTCAGCAGGAGGGCGCAGAGCGCACGCTCCCAGGGCCCTACCGGGAGCCCGGCCCTCGGGTGCAGTCGCGGGACCCCCCTCCCTCGCCACCCAACCCCTCCAAGAGTCTCACACCCCTCTTCTGTCCTCCCTTCCTCTCTTCCCCCCTTCCCCCGATACGGTGTGCCCCTCACCCTCTCTCCCTCCGAGATCCCCGGCTTAGTCCCGAGCGCCACCGCCTCCGCTTCGGGTCATTGGGCGGAGGCTCCCAGGTGACCTGGAAGGCTTTGGCCCGGGGGGCGGAGCCAGAACGAAGCGCTTGCAGTTCTTCCGTTTTCCACCAGGGCGCGCGCCAGCACTGCTTCTTGGAGCGGAGCGGCCTCGGAAACCGTGCTAGGCTGCCTGTTCTGGCCCGCGCCGCTTTCAGTCCGGATAAAGGCTGAGACGAAGCGGGGGGCACTTCGAATGCGGTCAATGTGGGGAGCGGGAGCTGGGGGTGGAAAGAAGCCCAAGTGAAAAGAGAGGAAAGAAAAACCGGACAGATCTGTTAGAGAGCGCGGATTGCTGGGGCATCTGGAGGAAAAAACTCAGCTACTTGTGTCCTGGTTTGAATTACCCAAAGGTGCGACCTACCCCCAGCCCCCACCAGGGCGTAAGATCTGTCAGATTGTCACAGGGCAGGAGGTGTAGGGTCAACTTAAGTTAATGCATTTTTTTTAAATGCACATATGCTCAAAACCCACCCAACCCACAAAAGATGGATTCTGCCCCACAGTGCTCAAACTCCTACGAAGATAGCTTTGAAAGGAAATTTGAAAATTTCTAGTCCAAAGATTTGGTGCCTTTACCTATAGTGAAACTGAAACAGCAAAGAAGTCTTGGCCAAGGGGGCACATATTGATGTGTGGGTGGACTCTGATCCCAAATGTTCTGCTTTCCGGGTCATTTTCCTCTATCAACCCTCTCCGTAACCAGCATTTAAGCAAATGCATCTCACTCCTTTTGCTCTGTGGAGCCCTCCAGGAATGGGGACAGGAGAGATATTGCAGATTATCCACTTCTCCCACATCCATGCTGCCAACCAGTCAGGGCTACTTCTCAGAGCTCTGGCCACAGCATCCCAGCCTGGGGTCACTCCTGGGATGGGAATGAGGCCAAGGTTTCGAGGCAGGCTATGGGCAGGTGCACCAGATAAGGCTGTTGGGGGATCTGAAATCTGAGATATTTCCTAATTGCCTATAGGTATCCAAGGCTGATTCTGAAGAGGAAGCTCTCCCCCAAGGAGATGGTCTTCACTTTCAGAAGAGGCACTGCCACTTGCAGAGAAGAATTATCTAGAAGCTGGGCTGGAGGCAGGGAAGAGCATCACCTGAAACTCAGAACACTGGCATCTCATCTTACTTCTGCAATGGATCTGGAGTGTGTCTTTGGGCAGGTCACTTTTCCTTTGAGGGCCTCAGTTTCCCCAGTGGCAAAATGACCACACTGAACTAGTTCTGTGATTCTCAAGCACAGGTGGGGAGTGGAGGAGAGAGATTAGTTTTGAACCACACAACTCTCACTGCACAACAGAATACTTTCATACTCTGTCCGTGGACTGCCAGCATCAGCATCACCTGGAAGCTTGTTAAAAATGCAGAATCTGGGGTGCCTGGGTGGCTCAGTTGGTTAAGAGGTTGACTCTGGATTTCCGCGCAGGTCCTAAGATTGAGCCCCTCGTTGAGCTCCGAGCTCAGCGGGGAGTCTGCTTCTCTCTCTCTCTCCCTCTGCCCCCCCCAAATAAATAAATAAATCTTTTTAAAAAGATGCAGAATCTTGGGCCCCACCTCAGACCTAGTGAATCAGAAGCTGCATGTTAACAACACCCCCCCGTGTAAAGTTTGAAAAGCGCTGCTCTAATACGCCCCCATGGACATTACTTGTTGGGGTGCTGGAGAGTTAATCAGTGTCTTGAGAAACTCCATGGGTGACTCGAATACGCCCTCTACAGGGTGAAGACAGCCAGACTGTTTGGTTCCTGAGCTGCTTTTCAAACCCGCACTGCTAGGACGTGGAGCTGTCGAACTCTCCAGAGTTAAAGGAAAGTGAAGGCTGCTTCAGATGTGCTGTCGACGGGGAGGTGTCGTGAGGTTGCCATCGGAGGTCATTCCAGAAGCAAACGTCAAGGCTGTGTGCTGATGAATGTGAGCACCCAGAGCAGCGGGCAGCCCGGCCGGCCCCCCTCCTGCACATCACCGGCCCCCCGAGATGGGGCCGGGACCAGCCGGAGGAGCAGCGTGTGTCTGCGGGCCACAGCGCCGCCCCAGGCTGCAGTTCCCAGGCAGCCTGCTCCTCCGTCACTTTCCCATTCCTGATTTCACTCACCAACCCTCGAGGGCCGTACTCCCACCTCCCGAGAGAGGAGGTGGCCGCTCAGAGAGGTTGTCCAAAGGGTGAGCCCACGTGGCCTGATTTCCCTAATTCCTCCCTGGCCCCTCCAGGGTCGTCTCAGCCTGGGGGCGCCAGATCTGAGGGGTCAGTGGTGGCCTTGGGCTCCCTGGAGGTGGGGGGGGTCAGGCCAGCCGAGCAGCATTGCTGCCAATGCGGGCCAGTGAGCAAACATCAGAGCCCCACCAAAGGCCCCCGCTAAGAATGCAGGTCAGCAGGAGGAGCTGCAAGAGGAGGAGGGGTGGCCCCAGCCCTGCCCAGACAGGCCCAGCCAGCGCCACAGCTGCCCTCCTGTCCCTGGGGGCAGCGATGGGCTACAGGAGGAAGGGGCTCCCCCAGGTTCCTGGGGTCTAAGTTCCGCAGAACCAAGAAGACAAAAGAGGCGCCCCACAGAGTGGGGCCAGCAAGAGGTCACGGGAACATAGGCCTGCCCCACCTCCTCTGGGGCTTCTAAATCCAGGAGCAAGAGAAAGCAAAAAGCTACTCCCCCAAAACCAGTCTGCTTCCATCTGTAACCCCTAAATCATGCTGATACCCTCCCATCCCAAAGTGGCCTTAAACTTTGTGACCCCAGATTCTCCCAAACAGGTGATGCGAAGAGCCAGTGTGGGTACCAGATTTGGCTCCAGGAGATTGGGTAGGGGTGGAGTGGGGGAAACAGGAATCCCACTAGGGAAGACAACTGTGGCCAAAATGTAGGCTGGGAAGGTGAAAGAACACAATACTCTAGCCTGCCCCTTTGGAGCCCGAAACTGCTCTGCGGTCAACCTTCCTAGCTTTGGCCTCTGGACTCATGAGATTTTTTTACTCATTTCACCTGAATTAGGCACCTGCATAGCAGGCATTGGGCAGCCCGGGAGAGTACCTACAGATGGGCTGTTTCTGCACATCCCAGGCCGCCCGGTGGGTCCAGTGAGGGTGCGCTCGTGCGCACTGTGTTTGTGTAACTGTGGCGGGCCCTCTAGCTGGGAGTTGCAGTAGGATCCTTCCCTCATACTTTCCAGCTGGGCGGGAGCCCATCAGATATCTTGGCTGCCTTTCATCGCCTTGTCCCTGATAGGGATCATCCTGGGTGAAGAAATCGCTGTCAGTCACCCCCGCCTCGCTCACAGCCAGAGGGACCGATCACACCCCCATGGGGGCGGGGTGACCGAGCCAGGAGGCTGGTTCTCTCTGGCAAGGCAGGGAACCGGCGTTCTTGGAAGGGGAGGGGAAAGAGGGGGCTTATATGTGGAGGAGGCAGGAAATATCTAGAACCTTCTCATCCCCAGGGAGGGACAGTTAGGCCAGCTATCAACCCCGAGGGAGCTCCTCCCTCCTCCGGCACCAGCCACCTCCTGGGGAAGGATCTGACCCTTCCATCAGCTCGGCTCTGCCCCAAACAAAGGGAGGAGAGGCTGCAGCAGGGGTGCTGGATCAAAGGAAGTGTCCACCCCGCCCTGCGGCCCGCCTGGTCCTCACTCCTGAGGGACACTGAGTCCAAAATGAAAACAGAGCTGGAAGACAAATGAAGCAATGATGTGGTTGATGACTTTATTATGGCATAAAAAACACAGGCTGTTTCTTCCTCCTCCTCCCCCCCCCAAAGTGGGTTCACAGCAGTTAAAGGAAAAAAAATCCTACATTTCTCCTCTAGGGGGCTGCCTACAAGGGGGTAGACAGCCAAGCAACCTAGATCTATAAAGGAGGGGAGCAGAAGAAAACCCATCCAAAGCCCTCACCCGCACCCTTAGAGCTCAAGGCCTCCATAGGGGGAACATCAGTGTCCCCCCTGCCACCCCAACACCCATTCGGGAGTTCCCCCTTACAATGGTCACTGGGGAAGGCTGTCCTGGTGGCACAGGGAGGGGGTGGCTGGTTTCGATGGGTGGAGGAGAAAGGCATCCCACACCCACAGGGCCCTCCCTCTCTCCCCCTGTCTCCACCTGGCCAGGCAACCTGCAGGTACTGCCAACTCTCTCCTGCCCCCAACCCTCTCGACAAGGAAAGGCACCTCTGGTTGGGGTAGCAAGAGGCAGGGAAAAGAGGGAGCAAAAAGAAAGAACATTACTTCTTAAACTACCCCAGGCCCATGAGTCTCTCAGGGAGAGTCACCCTGTCCCTTCTAAGAAGGGCTCCCTTCTATGCAAATGCATATTCCTAACCAGACCCCAGACCCACTTCCCATTTAGCTCCCAGTCCTGGGACTGGGCTCCAGCATCCCCAAGGGAGGGAGAGATGCTGTGGGCCTAAGCCCTAGGACTTTGGACGGGGTGAATAAGGTGGGGTCTCTCTAGCTGGAGACCCCAGGCTCAGTAGAGAAACACACACACATACACACACAGGTACAAACAACATGCATATACACACATGCCCTAATATTAAATAAAATACCTTTTGCTTATAACTTAAAAATCAATACACAACTAATCCTTGCATAGGGCTCTGGGTGGAGAAAGAGGGGCAAGGGGTCAAAGGAGATCAGAGGGAATCTTAGGGCCTCTGCCTCTAGCTTTGGAAGGGGTACTAGTTCCAGATCCTTACCCCTATCAGCTTCCTTCCCTTTGCCTGGCTCCACCCCTGCGAGGCTCTCCCCTCCCCAGTCCCCACTCCAAGATCAAAGTCAGGATGTATCTCTAGCATCTAAAGAAGGGGACAAGGACAGCTTCCTGGACATCACCTCAGAGGGCAGACCCCTTCCAATGGGAGAACACCTCCTTCATATGGCAGGGGAGTCCCCCTGCCCAGAATTGAGATGAGGAGAAAGGAGCCTCCTAACACACACTCTACAGGAGGGGCAAGGCTTGCAGGCAGCAGAGAAAGAGGAGGGGAGAGAAAAGAAAGAGTGGACCTAAGCTCAGTGAGTAGAAGATGGCTGGGCAGGGGCAGAGTCCTCTACTCTGAGTGCGGACCACTGGAGGTCCCTCTGTTGGGACACCCCGCCTACTCCCCAGGCAACCCAGGTAACCCTTTTCCTTCCATCCCTAAGGGGAAGGCAAATGATGGGGGGGGGAACCCAGGATGAGGAACTACATCAATTCTAGGGTGGGGGCTGGGGCTTCCGGTTGCCTTGAAAACCTAGATCAGGTAACAGATGGGGAATGTGAACTATACTGAACTTTTTTTCCCATAAAAACCATGGGTTAAGGACTGAATCCGAGTTAGACAGGTAAGGGGTTGGTTCCTTCCACTGCCCCACCAAATCCCTTTCTCTCATTTTAGAAGGGGACTTTCTGCCCTCCCCGTCCCAGTCTAGCTCCCTCCTCCACCCCACTGCTCGCGATCCTGGTCTCTTCCCCTCTCCCTTCATGGCTCCATCAGAGTGGGTTTGGAAGGGTTAATCAGGAGGCACATCAAAGGAGTTATTTCTACAGCAACAACCCTCCCAAACAGATAGATACCCCTCCCTAAGGGGGACCCCTGTCTCCCCTACCCCACCTCAGCTCTCCCTCGGGAAACCATAAGGATAGAAGCACTATAAGGGGGATGAAAGGGACCTGGGCCGCAGGGCGGGTCCGTAGGCGCTTTTATGTCCCGGTTCCCAGGCGCTAAGGACGTGTCCGGACAGCTACCCCCAGCGCCCGCGGCGGCCCCACTCCTCTCTGCTCCGGGGACGCGCCGTCTCTTCCAGCAGGTCCCCTCCGCCCTCCAGCCGCGGTAAGGGTACCCCACCCCAACCCCCCCCAGCCCGGACACAGGAGCGAAATAGTGAGGAAGGGGAGGACGGAGGGGCATGCGCAGCTCCTCCCAGCCCAGCCAAACACGTCTTGTTCAGCCTCAGAGATTACAGAAAACCCTAGCGCCCGGTCCCCCTGACCCCGCACCACTTTTCCTCCCCCTCAATAAATAACCACCTTCTCCTCTGACTCAAGTCGCCTCCCAAGGACGTCAGGCCGGGGGGGGGGGGGCGGGGAAATCTCTTCTGATGCCCCCAGGGGAGACCAGCGTGGGGGGCGGTACCCGAGCAGCTCAGTTGGAGGGAGCCGCGCCGCCCTCGGCCTCCCTCTTGCCTTTGCCCCCGGGGGGCTCCACCGCTCCGCCGGCCTTGCCCTCGCCTGGGGCCGCCCCGGCAGCCTCCTCTTTGGCGCCCTCGTGGGTTTTCATGTGTTTGGCCAGGTGGTCGCTGCGCATGAAGACGCGGCTGCAGACTGCACAGGGGAACTTCTTGGTGCCCGTGTGGGTCTGGAGGTGGCGCTGCAGCTCGTCGGAGCGCGTGAAGCGCTTGCCGCAGAAGAGCCAGTTGCACACGAAGGGGCGGTCGCCGCTGTGCCAGCGCAGGTGCGCCTTCAGGTGCGACGTCTTGGCGTAGGCTTTCCCGCAGCCCGGGATGTGGCAATTGTGCAAATGCTTCTTCTTGCCCCCGTCGGGCCCGCACGGAGCCCCCAGTCGCTCCGCCTCCAGGCAATTGGGGCAGCGGCAGACGGTCTGGCCAGAGCTGCGGGGCACTGACCGCCGGGAGCCTTTGGGCCGGGCTGCCCCGTCCAGACTGGAATCCAGCCCCTGGGACTCCGGGGCGGCCGCTTCCAAGGCCTTAGCCCCGTCGGGAGGCCCCAGGAGGTGCTGCCCTCCCGCGGCCGGGAGGAGGTGGTGCGGGTGTGGGTGGGGCGGCGGGGCACAAAGCTGGTGGTCTCCGACGTAGCCCCCCAAGCCAGCCTGAAGCGCCCCGGGGTGGCCGGGTGAGGTCAACGCGCCCTGAGTGTGGGGGAGGTCCATCCAGCTGGCGCCCGGATGAAGGTCCCACCACGAGCCATCCTCAGTGCCTGGGTGAGTTGGCCGGAACCACGATTCGTAATGGTGTGACATGTCCGGCTGCAGGAGCTTGGAAAAGGGTCCCGGGGCCAAGGGACTGTCGCTTTCCAGGTCCTCGCAGGTTACCCGAGAGGAGGCCCCCGGCAGCTCATAGCCCTGTGAGAAGTCCACCTCAGGGCCCAGCGGGAGGCTCTGCAGCTCTCCAGGCTGCAGCGGGGAGGGGTAGTCCCCGGCCTCCGGGCTCGTGTGGCCCTGGTATGTTTGGAGAGGCTGCAGGTCGAGGCGCGGCGGGGAGGCGTGAGGCGCGTCCGTGTGCTGGCTGCCCAGAGAGCCGCAGACAGCGGTTAGCATTGCCGGGATCCGGGGTGGGGTGGGGATCAGGGATGGTCAGGGGCACCTCAGGTGGGACCTAAAGGAGGCAAAGAAGAGGTGAAATGAGTAAAGTAACCAACTCACTTTTAGTCCTGACCCAGATCCCCTCGAAGTGCTCCTCTCCGGCTGGCCAGCTGGTGCAAAAGAGGAACACACCTCTGAGTGGAGACTAAAGACCAATAAACAGAATTTGGGAGTGCTAGGAAGGGTTGAGAGTGTGAGGGTCTCAGCCAAGGGGGGAAGTCGACCTTCTCCTAGCTGATCCCTCCTACGGGACCCAGCTCATCCCGAGAGCTGGGCTGGTCCCAGGCTGGTGGGTCACATACACCTACAGTACAGTGCTAGAACGATCCCCACCCTGGGTGCCCAGGCCAGTGCAAAGAGCGGTGGCATTTACCCCCTGCAGACTGGGCCACCAACCCCAATGGAGGGCCTAGACCCATCTCTGCTTCCCTAGTTTAACCCAGGACACACATGAGGAGAGGGTGGTGGTCTGTTTCTGGAACTCAAAGCTTGAGGTGACTTGACTTTCCAAAGCCCAAAGCAAGTTCTGAGATATTGGAGAAAGAGACCTCATTCCGTCCCTGAGGCATGTTCAGTAAGGAAGAGCATTTCACTGTTCTGTACCATTCGCCTCAGCTCTCTGCCTGCCAGGCTTGCCAGGGCCCCACCAAACCCATGCCTGGCCCCCACTCCTTCCCCTCAGGCAGGGACTTCACCTCCCTGGGGGGCAGCCACAGTGCCAGTTCCCAGAGAAAGTTAAGCCTCTTCTCCTGTCCTGACCCACACAGGCGCCAGCCGGCTGTCTGGCTGCTACCCATGCCCTCCTCCAATCTAGGGGAGACTCAGATGTGAAGCTGAGAGGGGGTCAGCTTCCCCCGAGAAGGGGGCCAGCCAGAGAAGAGCTTACTAACCAGCTCAGGAAGGTAAAATTGTCACTCCGTTAAAGGATACAGAGTCAAAGTGGGGACAGCGAAGGGCAACAAGAAAAACCAGAATCACAGAAACTACGAATTACCCCAAGAGATTATAGAAGGGGGTGCATTCTAGGCACGGGTCATTTTTAGGAGTTCTGCGGATGGTTCCCATATGCAGCCAAGTGTTGAGAACCACTGCTTCAGGCCAACCCTCTTATGTTAAAAAAGAGGAAACTGAGGCAGTATTTGGAGAAGTGACTTGAACAAACATTCATTTACTTGTTCAATCAACCGATATGTACTGTATGTACCTCTGTGAACCAGGTCTCTGGACTCCCTGTCTGTTACCCTTTCCCTAAACTGTCAGCAACCTAAAGACATCCACCCCGTTCTTAACCACATTATCTTTCTCTGCCCTGGTGCTTCGGGTGCGGAGTTTGTGTGCCTGGCCTTCTCTGATGGTGGGGGAGGAGGTGCAGTGGTTTAGGTCAGGGACTTCCCACAGCAGGGCTGACCCTACCACCTTTGGCCCTGGTAGATTGGGGGGGGCGGGGAGAGGGGAACTGGGGCGCCTACTCAGGCTCCGGCTGCCTTACCACAAGAAAGGAACAGGGTGAAGCAGCAGGAACGGAGCCTCAGGCCCAGGCGGGGCGGCCCAGAAGGGGCTGGGCGGGAGCAGTGAGGCCTGGGACCCTAATAGCTTTTAGTGTCTGGGAACTGCCCCAGGGACTAGGGGTTGGGGAGGCCAACGACCCAGGCTCTAGAGTGGCCTCTCCCGATGCAGAGCCAGGGGGATGCAATGGCCTGCCTGCAAGGTTTCGGGAAGGGAGACAGCCGGGCGCACACTCTCGGCTGCCCGCTCCCAACGCAGGAAGCCGGGTAGAGACACCCTTCTAACCCCTTTCCGCCGTCTCCCTCTCCCGATCACCGGCGCTCAGGTGGTCAGGACTTCCGTACTCCCAGTCCTCAAGGTTCCAGTCCTCCGGTTGTCCCAGTCGCTCCAGTTTCCCCGGTTTTCAGCCTCCTCGGTCCCTCGTCTCGCCCGTCCGCCCAGTTGTCGCTCGGCCGGGACTCTAAGCCCCTCGGATTCTTTAGGACCACCTCCCCCAAGGCCACCGGAGGCTGCGGCGAGTTCCGGGCGCGTCTTTCCGAGAGGATCCCCGGAGCGCGCACCCCTCGCCGCCCCGACCCTGGCTCCTACCTCGAGGCTGCGCTCGGGCTCCGGGCACGGCAGGCTGGCACGCTACCGACGGGCGCTCATGGGCCCTGCGCGCCGGCAGGCTCTCCAGGGGCGAGGGGCAGGAGCCGAAGACGAGCGGGGGCCGCGACCAGACCCGGCAGCGGGCGGCGGGCGGCGGAGGAGGGGCGGAGGGCCGGCGGGAGGGCGGAGGGCGGGCGGGAGCCAAGGAGCGAGCGAGGGAGCGAGGGAGCGAGGGAGCGAGGGAGTGAGCGAGCGAGGCCAGCTCCGCCCGTGACTCACCCGCGCTCTCTGCCTTCATCCTCTGCCCTGCGCTCCTTTTTCCCCCCGAGTCCGCGGCCCCGCCCACCTCACCTGCCGCCGCCTTTAACCCTTGCGGGCTCGGCGGGACGGGAGGCCCGCGCAGCCGGGCCGGCGGAGAGGGGGCGGGCTCGCTAACTAGGTCGCCTCCCTCCCCTCCCTCTCCCCCCCGGCCCCTCAGCTCCTCAGGCGGGGGTCCGGGGCGGAGCGTTTCCCAGGCTCCGAGACCCGCCCCTCGGGTGCAAAACTGCCCGGGAGCCGGCTGGGTCTGGCGGGGGACGCGGGACTCAGACCCTGGGGCCCTGGAGAAGGGGGCGGGTCCTCGGGGCGATTAGGAGCGTCCCTTGGGCGCCGATTGCTTCCTCCGCGCTCGACCCACCCGCCCGGCCGCGCGGCGCTGCCCCCGGTACCGAGAGGAAAAGGAAACAGGACTGAGCACCAAGGATGTGTCCGGTCTACCGCAGGCCTAGGCCGTGAGAACTTTGGGCTGCCGCCCTCTTTCACCATTCCCCCCGCGCCGCTTCTCTCCGCCACCACCATCCTCCCCTCGGCCTTTTCGCCCCGGCTTTCTGCCTCTTCCTCTCCGGTCACTCGCCTTTTTCGGGTGACCTCTTCTCCTCTGCCCACTCCCCTGCTCCTCCACTTGCCCTGTTTCCCCCTGCCTGCCCCTGTTCGTCTCCCAGGCCCCCCTCAGGTCTCAGTCCCCATCTGCCCTTGGGCAGCAACCCCAGCGCGTCCTAAGTCCATCTCTCAAATACGCTACCCCCTGGGTCCGGGAGCTGCTCAGCCTCCGTACGCCCTCCACCTTTGCCCCCTCCTGCGCACCCGGCTCTGAAAGTCGGGGCAGGCGCCTGAATGGCCCTGGGAAGGGACACTTCTGGAAAGAATTGATCGACCTACTGGCCACGATTCTCACCTGAATGTCTAAACCCAAGGTTCTTAAGTTTGGGGAAGAATCTGGGATTCCTTTAAGGAAAACAAATGCACATACACAATGCACCATTCTGGCAAAATTTCAGGGCGCTCACGGCGCCCACCGAAAAACTTCTCTCCAGGTCCCAGTTGGTGGACATATCAAGCGCGCGTGGCGAGAGGAGCTCCTCCTCCTCCTCGCCCGCCTGGCCTGTGCGCCTGGGGAGTCCGATGCTCCCTTCCGGATCGGTGCCTCCTCCCCGCCTCGCCGACCTCCCGAAGTGACTCCTTTCTTGCAAGGGAATTCTGATCGATTTCCATATTTTTTTTTCTTTGCGCTGTTTGGCTTTCCCTACGCGCTCTGCCATCGGCTTTTTAAATTTCGTTTTTTGTCTTGACAGTCTATCACGCACAGCAGGACCAGAATTTAGGATGATTCAATCTCACCTCTACACCGCGATTTCCACCACCATTGCTTTACACGGCTCGAATTTCCGTTGGGGACGTACTCTAAGTGCCACTACAAAACGACTAAACTGAATCCACAAGCCCCTTGAAAAGCAGCCTTTGCCTGCATGGTTCCCCCGCCCCCCACCACCACCAAACACACACGGTCTTATATCCAGAGTCAATGTCTGATTCGTCGGTTCATCTCCCTCTTTTCTAAGACTCAATTTCTTCATCTGGTCCACCAGAGTTCAAGTTAGGAGACATTCCCGGGGCTTAAAGTAATTGCTGTACCTAAAATACTTAGCCCCCGGGTCCCCCGGTAAGCTCACAGTAAAGGGAAGATGTTGTTATAATTATTAAATAAGTGGGGTTCCCAGCAAATGTTTATTGGATTAGGGTATATTCGCAAGATCTTTGGACTGGAAGTTGGTGGACCTAAATTCTCGCCCCGACCCTGGACTTGCTAAGCTGATCTGGTGGGTCAGGTTGCCCTGAGCCTCAGTTTCCCCCTGGGTTAGAAACCAGTTAGAGCAGTTGCCCTGCAGGGTAAAAGGCACTTGGGAAGCCTGGAGGAGCTGTGGCAATGTCCAGGACTGTACTTTCTGATCAGTGGCATTTCCTTCTTCCGAACACTCAGACCCCGGCGATGTAGGTTCTCAAGCACTGCTCTGGATCTTTGTGGCCACTGCCACACTGACAGCTCTCTATCAACATGGTTTTATCTCTGTTCACAGCCACGTCCAGAATAGAGCCTGTGACTCAGGCCCCTGTGTTAAGTCTGATTTGACCCGTAGGCATTCTCTGCCTCCTTCCTCCCTGCAGCCCACTGGCCTCTGGCTATTCCTGAAGCTACTGCTTTTAAGGGATCTAAGCAGGGATCTGAGTCCCCCCTCCCATTTTTTCCCCTAGGCACCAGATTATCTTATCTTCCTGGCTCCTTCTGTCTTTCCCTGGAAAGCAACAGGGAAAGGGGTCCAGCCCCCGGATGGTAGACTTCCCACCCTGCTTTCATCCTAGGCCCCCTTTAACCCCACCCCGCCCTGACTGGCAGCCACCTAGGGTTCCCAGGAGCAAAGACCCTCCATCTGCCTGTGGTTCCTAATACAGTTGTCTCAGAAAACTCAGCCATCCTGCTTTCCTGTCGTGCCTAGCATTCTGCCTCTGACTCAGGGTACTGTCTTTCTTCCAGGTCCCCCTCTACTTGCCTTCTTCTGATTCCAGTCCTTTCCAATTTCCCACTTGCCAGATGGTTTCCTACTAAACAGTGCCCCTGGTCTGATGTTGACTCGACTGCCAATATCACCACTGCCCAGTATTCTTATGTCTTCTCAAAATTGAGCAATGCTGCCCACCTCATCTCCCACACAAACTGAGATTTTGCCCAGGACTTGGACCATTTCTGGTCTTTCTCCCTCATTTCCCCAAAGGGGTAAATAGATTTTGCCACAAGTGTCCAATCCCGCCACCCCTCTTCTCACACCTCATTTATACTCAGCAATCATTCTGCACCTGGAGCAGGTTAGTCTCCTACTCATGACCACCATTTATTTACTGAGCATCTACTATGTTCCAGGCACTCTACACAAATATCTTGAGGGGCACCTGAGTGGCTCAGTCATTAGGCATCTGCCTTTGGCTCAGGTCATGATCCCAGGGTCCTGGGATCGAGTCTGCATCAGGCTCTCTGCTCAGCCAGGAGCCTGCTTCTCCCTTTCCCTATGCCTCTCCCCCTGCTTGTGCTCTCTCTCTCTCTCTCTCTCTCTCTCTGTCTGAAATAAATAAATAAAATCTCTAAAAATGATACCTGTTTTGGGGGCGCCTGGCTGGCTCAGTCTTTGGACATCTGCCTTCGGCTTGGGTCATGATCCCAGGGTGCCGGGATCGAGCCCCACATCGGGCTCCCTGCTCAGCAGGAAGCCTGCTTCTCCCTCTCCCACTCCCCCTGCTTGTGTTCTCTCTCTTACTGTCTCTCTCTGTCAAATAAAATCTTAAACGTGCCTGGGTGGCTCAGTCATTAAGCGTCTGCCTTCGGCTCAGGTCGTGATCCCAGGGTCCTGGGATCGAGTCCCACATCGGGCTGCCAGCTCGGCAGGAAGCCTACTTCTCCCTCTCCCACTCCCCCTGCTTGTGTTCCTGCTCTCTCTATCTCTCTCTCTCTCTCTCTCTGTCAAATAAATAAATAAAATCTTTAAAACAAATCTTAAAAAAATATATCTCGAATTCTCATGGGCATGCAGCAAAGTTGTTATCATTATTCCCATTGTACAGATGAGGAATTCTGCCAAGGATCAAAGAAGATCAATGACCTGCTCAAGATTACAGAGCTATTAAATGAGACAGAGAAGGAAACTAAGTCCAGATCTGTCAGGCTCCAAAGCCCTGTTCTGTCTGCCACTCCATCTGGCCTCACTAGGGCAGCAGTGCTGGGCCCCGGGAGTCCGGCTCCCCTAAATGCTGAAGGTAAAGAGGATAGCATTCTTCAGGTGATGTCCAGATCAAAGCCATCCATGATCCTGCCTTTAATAGGACAAACTGGTCCCATCTTGGATTGCTGGGACAAGTCACAGCTCTATCTGTGGCCCTTTCTAAACCTCAGTTGTCCTTCTATGGAGACTGCACTAGGAAAATATCAAAGCTGGTCTGCCTATAAAAATGGTCTAGTGCAAGTCCTCACTTTACTGGTAGGAAAACCAAACCCCAGAACAGGGAGGCAAGTAGCTCAAAGTCATCGGAAAGTTAGAAGCAGAGCAGGGCCCAGAACCCCAGTCTCCTAATTCCTGGTTGTTCACTCTTCTTCTCCACTTCCCACCCCCACCTTCAGGCTGCACTTGGAAACCTGCAAACTAATGATCGTGGACACCAACACATTCCTCTTTTCCTTCCCTCTTCCCACACTGCCCTCCCATGTTCTAGGAAACTGGACAGAATCCAGAGCTGGGGCCAAAATGGTTTTCTTTCGTGCATCTGTATTCATTCAGCCAACACTTACTGAGGGTTTACCTAGGGCCGGGCACTACACTGGACACTAATTCTATTATCCAAATTCAATATTATCCAAATATCACTAGTGTCCACATCTGTTTTCAGTCTAAAAGATGAAGCCAGCTGAGGATAGTGCATCTGTATGCTGGGGTGTGTGTGCGTGTGTGTGTGTGTGTGTGTGTTTCACACTTTCATATGTGTACCCATCATGCCTGTGTGTACCAGAGGCTTGGAGGTGGGTGTCTGTCCCCTCTCCTCCATCATAAAGGGAGTTCCCCATGAGATATGCACAGAGGTTTCTCCTTTACCACTTCTGCAGGTGTTCTATCATGCATGAACTTCCATGTGGCCAGTGTGTGCCCTGTGCGTCTATTAATATCTGCCCATCTTTTCTCTCAGAGTGAAGCCCCTGGCCGTCAATTAATGACCACTCCCC